CATATCTACAATGAGCAGCTGTAAAATTCCATTTTAATATTATAATGAAAATAGAGATTAACAATATTTTTCCAAATCTTAGACCKAGCACTACTATTTTCTTTCCCATTCGGATGGAAAAGCTGAACAGGGGTGCACTATCAGCATGAAGAAGTAGMTGGAGTGAGCAGTATCTGATTTTAAGTTTGCCAGTTCCTTCCCAGGAAGTTAAATGACTGAGGCAGACTTTTATCAAAGAATGAGGCAGTAATGGGGAAAAAGAAATCAAAGGAAGGAATGTTGTATCATCTGCCTTGACTTTGGCACAAGGCTCAAATGTAATTTATTTTTCTGCAGAACACAGAGAGCATTAGGCACTCTAAAGTATTTAAGAKAGAAAAATTGCCATTTTTACCGGTTGTCATTAGAACACTGAACCACTTAAGGTTTTGATGGTGGTTTTTTCCAGCTATCAAAGTATCTTGTGCAAATTTTAATTGGAATAACCTGTGGCTAGAGCAGATGAAAGAGAAAGGGCATCCTCTTGCAATGCAATAAGAAGGGGACAGCCTCATTTTTAACTCTGCTGGGATTAGATCTATTCTGAATTTGTTCRGGGAAGTCATGTTTGTTTTCTGGACTTAGGAATCACTTTCAGTCTGTCCTTCTATTGAGCTTGACCTCAAAACTAAGTTATGTCCAAGGATCCCAAAATACTTCAAAAATTAAAGGTTATTCCTTGAATAACTGATGCTAAATTGACATGTTTTCTGAAGATTTATCTCCAGCAGTGCCAATTTATTTCATTTTTTATCATTCACATACTGATACATGTTGTAGTGAAACCTAGAACAAATTAAATTAAAAAGTGGTTCAGAACTACTGGGGAAGGATAAAAAAAAAAAGCCACTTCTTTGATTATACCTGCCTTAAACCAACAGAACACCATCTTTCTGAATAATCACATCTCATAGTTTAAGAAAACATGCATAGAAAGCTGTGAAAATTGGAGTCTGTAGGAAGGGCAGTAACATAAAGAAAGCACTCTGAGCCCTCTGAATATTCTCGTAAGGACAACAGGCACCTGTTCTGAGTTCCTGACTGAGTAAATAGTGAGCAGTGTCAACACTTAGAGGATCCAATTCATATTACAGGATTTGGGACATCAAACCTCAACCCCAGCACATGCCATAGGCTGTAAACACCACATTGAAAAGAAACTTTCCTCACGTCAGGTTTTTCAAATAGAATCTCCACATTACTTTTATTTTTATCCTTACCTGAATCAGGATGAGTACAGTGATCCAGCATGAACGTAAAAAAGTTGGATAGCTGAGTATGAAAAAGAAAAGAACAAACAGACTGATCAGTTTAGGTGACACAACAAGCATTAGCATCTTTCTTACACAAATACTTGCAGTTTCCGTTTAGGGGAATCTGAGTCACTGCTGTATATTCCCACAGTATCAGTCTGCAAGAATGACACCATTTGTGTCCCATTACAAAAATAGCTCCCTTTCCTTCTTTGCTATGAATTCAAAAATGATACTGTATGAATACATAAAATATTTCAGGGCTGTTTCAGAGCTGCTGACATTTTTGGGTGTAATTCTTCTTGCCCATCACCCAGACTATTTGCCTAGACTTCCTTCACAGTCAATACAAAGAACTGTTCCAATGCACTGAACTGACTTTAGACACAGATGCTAGGAGGAACACAAAGGCCTCCAAGTTCCAAATTTCCTGTATTGACCCTAAAGGAAGCCCAGACTGACACTGAGACACTGATATCTCTGTTACACACATATTGTCTCACAGACAGTTAGGACACCTACAGTGAACTGCAAATGACCTTTAATCCCAGACTAACAGAGCTGCTATACCAGAACCTGTAATCTGATATGCTGTACAGCAAAATAGTGTCCTGTTGCTATGTGGTTACATACAGCTGAGTGTCTGTGGAGGAATACACATAACTTAGTTCACATGCCATAAAAAGTGGTTTTATTTRTCAGGACCCAGCTTTGTGGGAAGAAACAACTACATGACCATTTTGTTTGTGCAACCACCATCCTGGGGATAACATAACTGCTTTTACAGGAAGAATGGAAGATTGCTAACCTGTAGCTGATCCTGCTCATCAGCATATTCGATGGACTGGAATATACTGAGAGAATAGCGGCGCCTCATCTCCAGCCGGGCCATGGTAAAGCGGTACCACTTCTGGATGAGGATTGCAGCTCTAATCACTGCCAAAACAGAAAGCAGGAGAGTACACGTGGATGCAGGCTAATCTGCTAGGAAAATATGCGTGGTGCTTTGCAGGATTTTGCAGTCAGATGAGAAGTTCAGTCCATTCTGCACAGTCAACAATAAGATGAAACACAGTAGAAGTGAGACTGAAAAAAATATGTGATGCCTGTACTGTTTCTGTCTGCAGACACAGATCCCCAGCTAGCTGACTTGCTCAGGCCTAAGTTGGTAGAAAYCTTCCCCATTTAATTGTCTTGAAGACAGTACCCATGTAAGAAGTCAGTCATGTTCAGTTGATGGGCACTATATGGGTTTTGGGAAGGTGAGGAAAGGAAGAACAGTTCAGCCTATCAACAGAATGTATTTCTTTTTCAAGCTGCTGGAAAAAGCTCTGATTTTGCTAGCTGCAACATGAACAACCATGTAATGACACTATTTGCAACAGCCTCTTCTACCAGAAAGGTTTTGCCTGCAGAGCTCCATCAGCAAAATTCAAATCCTGGGGTAAAAGGTTAGGAAATGGTATTGAAGGGCAGAATATGTTGCTTRAGTAGACAAGCCAAAAGGCAATCASGTGTATYTTTGGCTAGCTTGGTTAACAAAAGAACACTTTCCCCAAAAATTCAATTGAATATGCCAGAAGAGTATTTCTGACTGTGTGCTAAATATGCATTCCTCTCAGCATTTTAAAAAGTTGTGTCTGCCATTGTCTCAGTGTGGAAACTGCTGGAAACTTCACTGAAGGACAGACATCAAGACTGGAGCCTGGAGGAAAGATCCTGCTGCCTACAGGCCTCATTCATGTCACAAAGAGATCACATTCCTTTAACTGCTCAGATAAAAGTTCCTTAGGCAGAGCAACATCTGGTGGCAAAAAGAGGTCCTGGGGTGGCACTGTCCTGCACTGCAAGGACAGAAAAGAAAAGTTCTGTACTACAGGGASAACAGTTTACACTAGCCAATTATTGCAATGGATCACAAATACCAGGAAGTTTTATATTAGGATGAGTGGAACCCTGAGTGAGAATGATTTTTTTTCTTAAACTGATAGTTATGCAGGTAAAGACAAACRTTAATAGGAAAGTGATTCTATTAACAGATGTATAACATTAAGGAAGCCTTCTCATAAAATGCTTACAGATGCYRTAACAACATGTWGTTTGCTTATTTTAYCATTAATGAGTACACAGTATAGTTRAAGTGGTAAYATTTTCTAGTCTAGACAAGACCAAAATCCATAAAGACTCCTCCTGTAGATATTGCATCCATCTCATATGACTAAGCACATCCTTAAGATCCTACAGAAATACTGAGATCTCTCTTATTGTCTGTCCTTTCTGGAAGTCTCTACAACTACAGACCTGAAAGCCTGACACATCACAGTGAGGCTTTCACCAACATTTCTGTTTRGAAGACTACCTAAGGGGCAAAGCAGTCACCAGCACAGAAACTGATTTCCAGCATCAGAGCCATTAAACTTCCCATTAAAGCCCCCCTGAGTTGCTTAATGGTCCTGAGCACTTAACATGGCACAGTTCCACTACTATCACATAAAACAGATACATATCAATCACTGGGGTTAATGTTGCAAATCTAACAGAATATTTCCTGTCTTTCTTTTTCTTTTTTTTTTATTGTACTTATTACAGCACTGTTATTCTCAGGACTGGAYCAGAACATGATTTTCACACTAGGGTGAACTGCATCTGTGAAAGGAATTGTTATCAGTTGCAGAAGGTCTCTAGACCAAAAGTATCTGTTAAATTCATGTTATTAATGCATTAGAGGAATGTACAGCCTCAGGCTGCAGATAGAGTGATGGTTCAGCATCACTTGACTACGGCTGAAGGGCAGAAAGAAACCATTSAGCAACTCCAGAAGAGTCCAGCAAGTACCCAAAATTATAAACCAGCTTTGGCTAATGCCCTACATCAATGTGTGTTGATGGTTGTAGRTTGAGAGTACAGCTCCTCATGCCCACTCCTAGCTTTTACACACTCAGAAATATTCCCAACACATCCCCCAGGTCTAGCAAGGCACAGGTAGGCACAGCACACAAACCCAGGGAGGAAAAGCTGCCTCCAGTCACAGGGAGGGCTCAGATCCAGATCTTTCCATTCCACTGTCACTGTGTGATGTGGCACTGATGCTGTTAKGCAGTAGCACACACAAAGCTGAGGGCTGCTCTCAAACCAGTCAGCATGGATCCCTGTAGTGCTCCTGCTTTTCAGGCACCAATTTCCTGTGCTTTGTGTCCTGGCTTGGTAGCCAAAGCGAGCCTCCCTTTYCAACCATGACTGCTCAGCATAATCATGTCCTAAGACATGCACAGTACCATGTAACATGGCTCTCTGCTGACCAAWARCTTGTGCTTTAATGAAAAAYGSTKAAAGAATAACAAAGGGTCTGAACARAGGTCTGAGTCAATCCTGAAACCCRCCTGYCTGTGCAAAGACTGCCTTCATATCAAGGTGGGGTATGATTAAAAGCAGGGAAATGATCCATTAGTTTACTTGAACATCTAACCAGCTCCTGTGGAGACTTTCAGCTGATATCCTCAGTAAYTGTCAGGGAGAATGCCAGGCTGGGCACTTGGTAGGTCAGAAARCTGATTTTGAAGTCATTGTAATAACTCTGCTTTATTATACTTGTTTCATAAYTGGGGTCTCCCAAGAGCAGGGAAATTGGGGCAGTTTGTCCAGGAATCCTGGGGTGTGGAAAGCTGTAAAAGGTCCACTCAATACCTTATCCCTTAGCTTTGCCACTGACAGAGTGAGCACAGACACCTCTGAAATTTAGCTTCTGTCCCAGATACTGTGAATGTTCTACAATCCAACCTGATGATGCYAGATGTGGTCTAAAGCCTTTCTGTGGCTTCAGCCAGCATCTAAAAGCTATGTGCTCTTTTAAAAAGAAAATAATTAGAAAATAATTTTGACAATAGTACTGGGGAGAAATGTTACCTTAAAATCCTCTTGTGGTGTTAGAGAGAGAACAAGCACTTGCCCTGAATTCAAAGGCAGCACTCACCATTCTCTGACCTCCTGTCAGGGACAGAACTGCTGCAGCCCATTGTTGCAGGGATGTTGCCCATCCGTTTTATTTTCTGCTGATGGGAATCATGTTTCTCTCAGCTGTCAGCATTGTCCACATTTCCTGTGTTGTTCCTTCAGTGATGAGGGAACACTCCTTTGGATTCCTGGCTCTTCATAGTACTCCTAATAAGGATGAGATTGGGAAGGAGGGACAAGGAGAAAAAAAAAGGTTTTGACAACACAGAATCTGAAGTACTACAGCATATAACAAATTCTTGTACAGCGTATCCTACACAAACTGCACCACATTAAGTTTCTTTTTCACATCTGATTATTATCATCTTGCAGTCAAGAGAGATTAACTCAGTAATTATTACAGTTCGTTCCATACATGTTAGCTTAAAGTTAATGTGCAGCATTGATTTCTTAATCTGAAGAACAGCTATTTAAAGCCTGACTACGAGGGATGAGGGATTACAGAGACACATTGCTCTTCATTCTTCTGATTTGAAAATTGGAACTGCAGAATTTTAAAGTTTTTTAATTACCTCTGATAGTGCTACTAAAAAACCTCAACGCTCCTAACACTCCACTGATTTGAAAAGTTGCCTTACCAACCTATTTATCMATTTATCCCTCAGTGTCACCACCAGCAAATTTACCAGAAGAGACAGTACCATAGCAAATCACTTCCTTATCAGATTTAGTTTGAATAAAGCATCTAATTTTCTGTTGAATTTCTACTGAAAAAATCCAAGGAAAAGATTTTGTTTCATTAAATAAATGAAAAAAAATACATTTTGAAGTGAAGTCTYTCAGGTTTTTCTCCTGGCACTTGTTCAGTTCTTCACTAAATAGTGTCATTTGCTAATGCAACACACTCTCTAATCAACAAGTTCAAATGAATCCAATTCCTCTGAGATACAAAATGGATCAATTTCTAAGCAAGAAGAATTCACTGATGCTCTTAGATACTGAACTTTGTCTTAACTAAAGATTTCTTACATAATCACGCTGACCCCTCTCTCTCCCTGTCTCCAAGGATGTGTCTGACATCGAAATGATTTCATTTGTTGTTATGTTTCATTGATATTCCTTTTCTTTTAACTTGAGTTTTAAAACAAAGAAGAAATTAATCAACATAAAATGAATGCTTAGCTACTAGTTTCCTTTGGTTTTAGTAGCACAAATCAAAATAAAAGGATACCAAAAAACCCATAAATGCATAACTAGGTAGTTTTTTATTTCAATAATTAGAAAACATTTATAGTTGTGAGACTATATRTGCAGTTTTCTACATTTATTATTATGTAAGATATCCTGTCATGCCATGTCATGCTAATATCACACAGCTCTTTGTAATTCTGGGGCTATTTTTCAGGGTCCCACAAGGGTGGTCCTACACTTGAGCTGTGTCTGACTCCTTACAAGTCTGTAATTATTTCAGGAAGGAAATTTTTTTCCACACAATGGACTGCTTCACTTCACTCTGAAGGAATTACCATGAAATCCAAAAAAAAAAGCACTCTTACATTAATTTTGAGCCAATCAATGGCTTTGGCAGCATCAAATATAGCACTGATATTACTAATAGCTCAAATTTATCTTCTCTCCAAACAATTCTTGCTCTCCTGGATACCATCTCCCCACTTTCCCCTTATGAGAATCTCAAGCCTTCATTACTCCATCTCAAACAAGCCAGCCACAACCTGAATTGTGATCTGAAGMCTGGGACTAAGAGCAAAAAAGACCTTCCAATCCAAGTTCTACTGCAGTGAGACTCTTGATTAAAAGGCAGGTCAGCAACAGGGCAATGGGAGCCCCAAACAGATCCATCACACCTGCCAGGGCTGACCCAAGAAATGGGGGCTGAATCATGATCATATTCTGCTTTCAATGACTTCAGCTTCCTCCCAATCATCACAGTCTCCTCTACAGTCCTCTAAACTCACAGACTCTAGGACCACCTTGAGAAAAGAAATGAAAGAGGCATAGGCACAGAAATTTTCTTGTGACAGCAGTAAATGAAGGCTCAAACATATACTCAAAGCTTGGAGCAAAACTTGCACAGATATACCCTACCATTAAACCACTTAAAAAGGGCAAATATGGCCATCGAAGAGCTAGTCCAGGGGAATACTCATCACCTTCAGTCCCAAATAACTGCATTCCAAAATGGACATAGGGAACATTCATCTTTTCATGGCAGCTTCTCACGTGGCTACAGAGCCATCCTTGCTCCAACCTGCATCCCAGACTTCAGGAGAGCAATTTCTGTGAGCTACTTACTGTGCAGTGCAGCAGTGTCTGGTGGGGAATCATTTGCCATTACAAAATTCCCCCCAAATGTTGGCTGATGAAATGGAAAGCTCATCTTTTACCAAGGTATTGCAAAAGACACAAGGTAGCTGGGTGAGGACTTGAAATAAAACACTGTCAATATTCGGGATGTCACACCACTGATTTACCTTTAACAGAAAATCTGTCATGCTGACTAAAAAGCAGGCATTCAATTTCTACAAGACAGTGATCTGCTCCACTTTTATACATAACTTCAAGAAATTGCTAGATTTCTCTCAGTTTAGCAAAAAAGCCAACTTTGTGATGGACAGGCACTGGAAGCACAACCCATCCACTGAAACAACATAAAATGTCTTTGCAATCATGCCAAAAGATGTGCATCTAAGCCAGAGTGACACATGCTGCTCTTTCCTGAACAGAAATCTCTGAAGGTTACACACAGCAAGTGCTCAGAAATTTGGGAWTCAGAACCCAAGCTGATTTACAGAGATTATGGCTCAGCATCGTTAGGTCTGGATGTAATAGGTGCTGCCCCAAATCAGTCATGCCTCTTGTTTGTCAGTCACATGAAAACCAGGCTGCCTCAAGAAAAAGTGAAATCCTGTRAAGATTTATAGCTGACTTTTAATAAAATCAGATGGCAGGTGCTTTGGGCAGAGACCCACCCTTTAAAGCACATCTTATCTTTTACAATTAGATGCGCTGTTCTACTGGCAGACAACTGTAAGCTARGTTAAACCTCAGGATATGGGAGTCATGAAAATAAGAGCCACTAGGATTTAAGTTCTTACTCCTGTCTTTTCATTTGTTTCTCACCTTTGATAAACAAAAATGAAAGGCTCTKCCTTATATTTTTGTTGGGATGGAGTTTCCATAATTATGCTACTTCCCCTACAAATTGTTTCAACAACTCTCTCCAGTAACATGCCTTCTTTCACTGCTCCCTCCTTTCTCAACCATATTAGTGAACGGATAGCTATGATCTCCTCCTATAAGATATCTTAGGAGGTACATGTGGTTGSAGAGTTTTCTGCATAAAGATCAGATGGATGGACGGATGCTTCTAATGATGGAGGCTTTCCACTGATGCCCTCTTGTTATATTTTTTTTTTTTATTTTACTGTGACTCACAGATTTCCTTTAGAATTGTCTTCCTTTGGAAATGAGGGCTGCAGAGAATATAGAAATGTTCTAACATGGTTTTGTGATGGATTTGTTTCTGTGCATTGCTGAGGGAATGAAGCTGGAAAGACTAAAATACCCTRGAGAAGAGAACCCAGACATTAAATCACAACACTCAGGTCAGGACCTGCCGAAGGACAGCTCTTCAAAACTGTCTTGTTGGRATTGTCAAAGATGGGAATCTGGAGATGAGTTCAAGATTTCATTAGCTAAAAGACCCACCCTGCAGAAAGTGGGGTGAAGCTGTCACAGTCAACCAGCAGAGTGAAACAGAACCTGGCTATGGCACAAGAGCTGTAAKTTTGACACCAACACTGAATTTGATCTGCCAAGGGGTTGATACGACAACATCAAACATACACAAATCAATGAGATTAGGTCTCCACCATTTTCCATCCACAGAATAAAAATAACACTTCTATTAAGCGATTTKCAGCGATTATATATATGAGAAAGTAAGAAATGAGAAAAGCTTYTTGTTAACAGATAATTTTCTTCAGGCTGCTCAGGGAAGCAAGGCTAAGCTCAACATAGAGCTGGTGGAATGATTGCTATCGGTGTCTGTGCTGATAGAYCTCAGTGTTGAGGCCAGGAATCAATAATGGGATGCAGGAAGATACCAGAAAGCCAGAAAAGCTGGAAAGAGAATAGGATGAAGAACAGGTAAAGTTTAAGGTGAACTCATATTCCTAAACCCCAAAATGCACTACAAGAAGAAATAAAAGCAAGAGTAGCAAATGTGTGAACATGTAGATAGTTCAAGCAATCCTTGAGTTCAGGAACTGCATGCAAATCCAAAGAGAACCTSTAGAAAAAATGGTGGAAGAACGCCAGTTCATATTATTTATAATCAGTAAGGAATACATTTATACATTTAAAACATTTTAACCTTTTTTTTGTGTGTGTGTGTGTGCGCAGAAAATAAACAAACAAAGCAAGCAGCCTCATTTTTTTTTTTGTGCAGGAAGACTTTGGACAAAATGTTTTTTAAAAAAGAGGGGGAGAAGCAAATACAARTGTACAAATGGGGTGCAGATCACCTTGAAGAATAAGCAAACCCATCATATCACTTTCCAGAAATGTTAAACACCTCTAGGGGGASATTCCTTTAGGCAACAAGGAGAAAACTGAAAATCCAGAAACAAAGTTGGTACTAGTAAGCTGAGCCCAACTGGAGCATAAAAGCACCCTTTAAGCAAAAASCTGGATCACACTGTCCTGCAGTTAATAAGCAGGGTCTTAATGACATCCTGAAAAAGCAAATATTCACAATAAATGTTTAGAAATCTGAGCCAGTTTAAAACTGAAATTCATGCTTCACTGTAGTTTTCATAAAATTTAAGTTAAACATCAGAACAAGGTTCAAAAATATWATAAAAATTATTTTTCCTTAAACAAGAAGTACATGAAATACAGAGTCTCAAAGCTATTTGYTCTCATCTGCACTCAGAAGTTCTGGATAACTGATTCAGTCCAGGTCAAACATTAATAGTTTGAAGCACAGTGATTTTTCTCAGGGTAAAATAATAAATAATGCCACAYATATCTGTCATTTTGTCAATTTGCTCTTTAAAAATGAGCTAAATATATATATACCYCACCCAAAGATATTACCTTTTTTTCTTTCTGCTTCAGCAGCACCGATATTTTTTGTCCAAGAGTACCTTTAGAAGATTCTTTTTTTAAAAAGCAAGCAACCCCTGAGGGGTGCAGCTCTGCAGAACAGGTGCTCCAATTCTCTCTGGAGCTCTGGAGCTGCACTGCACTTGCTCTCCCCCTGTTTATGCAGCTTCTCGAAAGGAAATCTCTTGAATGCTGCTCTTCAGAAGCAGCCAGGGGAAAAGGCTGTGTTCATGGTCCAAGCTGATGTGAAAGCTGATGGCTGCAGCCCTGCAGCTGTGCTGTTTGCATGTTGAAGAGCTGTTTTGYCTCCATGCCTCCTGAATCTCAGGCAGAGAAAGGGATGGGCTGAAGTTATCTGCCTCGCATCTCAAGTCACATGATCCCTCTCGGCCTTTCTGCTGTGTTGAGGCAATGATTTGCATTTTAGCAGATCCAGCACACCAGAAAAAGCCAGAAAAGGCTGTCCAGGTTGTTATCTGATGTGACTGGCATGGTTWTGAAAGCCCTTAAGGAAAGAAATACTGCATTTACCACAAGGCAAAACACTTTGTATGTGGGTGAGTATCTGCATGTGAGAGATAGAGGTGTTCTCCCAATCACTCATCATACCCAGATAATGGGACAAGTGTGAGGCACTCAGATCTTGTGTTGGGAAGCACTGCACTAATGCTTCAGTTCATTTCTTCATGTGCAAGCACATGTTCTCATCATTAACGTGTGACTGGAATTCTGTGGGCTGGCTTCACATTTTGGCTCCTCTTCTCCTTGTGGGACTGCTCAGAAGGCACTGGACAAGCCGAGAACAGTACAGCCTCACTTCAGTCAGGAAGCTGTGCTTTGGAACCAAACCCTGAGCCTGCAGCAGGTCCCACATCTCTGCCCCAGCTCCTGGCCACGCTGAGCCCTGACTCTCATCACTGCACAGATCCCCAGGAAGGGCAGAGCCATCCTGGTGATTTGTTACTGCTCACACAGCAGCCCCTGAGGGATCTGCTCCACTGGCACTGTGTGGACAGCACAGGGATTTGTGATTTGGAATACACATACCCCACCAAACCACCCCAAACTAGGACGTGTCAGTAGAAGCATCATATTCTAATATCACCATACAGTCTTGGGCCCAGTKCTCAGCATCACTGATGCTCATGGGGCCACCTCTCCCCTTCTCCAAAAGCCAGGGAAGGGCTGCTTGCTGCTGTGCACTGATGGGACAGAGAACAGCAGTCATTTGTGTGGGGTCAGGCTGGGAACCTGTGGGTTCAAAGAGGAGCACACRTTATAAAGCATGCTGTGGTGGGAGAAAGCTCCGTGTGCATGGACACAGATCACCATGCCCCTTGCTCTGAAGCCTTTGCAGGTGATGGACCCCACCAGGACTGGATAGGAAGCATAAGATTTCTGAGATCAGCGTCAAACAAAGTAACATCTTCATCCTCCTTCCCTTCCCCAAAGGTCTAATAATACCATAACATGCTATTTTCAAAAGTTTTTTGCCATCAGTGTGGTGACAGTTCTAAGGGCATCCACCACCACTCTGAAGGACAGAGTAATCAAATCCTCTTTTGAGGCAGACTTTTATTAAGTGCCAAAGATATTTAAAATGCCAAACCAGCAAGCAGAAGGTATTTGATTGACTGAGCTAGTACTCTGGGGTTCTGGAGTCCCAGACACGAGTTTCCACTTTCAAAGCTATTCCTCTCCTGTGAGACAAGACAGTAAATGGAAAGCATGCCGAATGCAAAAATTCTGCATGACCCAGAAGAGTTTTGATGTTTGTTTTTCTGGCAGGATGCACTTTCCCTGATCCGAGTTACAGTAGCTAATCTTTTATGTATGATCACATTGCTCTGCCAAAATGCATGCAAGCAAAAATACATCACAACCTCTTTCCACTGCACTCCTGGSATACACATTATTTATAAACATTTACTGTACCTGCTAAGTTCATCTACATTGGCATTTAGTGAGATCTCTGCATAATGAGAGGCTACAAGGYTTGCTCCAATTGCCAATAAATCCATCAGAAACACTTCATCCAAGGTCAATGGGAGTGGTATAATCTTAGCAGTGGTGTTCTTCAGGA